CGTGTAACATAATGTAAACGGACTTTGGTCGCTGCACGGCCGTACCGATATTATGTATGTGTTTCAAGCTCGGTTATTTTTTATTTGTTTTTGAATATTTTTTTTTATTGCTCGCCATAATAAAAAAAAACCGTCGGCCAGAAATTCGGCCACCCCATCAGTAACCCGAAGAGCGCGAAAATCGTCGTGTTATGACCGTGTTGTTGTTGTAAACCGTGTAAGATTAATGTTTTATTTTTAAAATGCTAGTTTTTAACTGTTTAGGCCTAGGGAATATTTTTCATAGCATTTTATATAAGACTATACTAAAAGTATTACATTACTACGCCTTAGTCCGTTCGTTACTGGAATATTGTTTGGAACCCGTACCAGGCTGTTTGGACAGTTAAAATTGAGCGTGTTCAAAATTAATTCTTGCGATATTTAAACTCTAAGTCGACCGATTAGTAGCGTTCCATGAACAAATTCAAAAACGCCAGTTAACACCTTCATCCACTGACCCCTTCAATTATCAGTCTATCCGTGCTTTAACTAATATTTACACACTGCATTAGGCGTCTCTATTTAAATGTTATTTTCATTTATAAAAAATTATAAATGTGCAATCGACGGTAGCTCTCTTCTTAGTCTAAACTTTTTAGCTGCTCAAAGCTATAATTCTAAAATCGACCAACCTCTCGCCTCGCTAAGCATAGAACTCTATTATATGGTTACTTCTCCCCTCTTAAACACGGTATTAGCAGCTTGCAATAACCTCAATAATATTCATGCAATGGAATATGTTATTATTCGAGATAGCCTTTTACAGTTTTAACTTTTGAGTTTGACTATATTATATACTATTTTTTTGTTTTTCATATTATTTGTTAAGTACACTACCAGTTCCAAAATATGTGGTTTTGTTACTTTTTTAATTAACTTTTTCACCGGAATTTTGTGTTACACTGGACATTATGCATTCGGGCGTCTATTTTACAATAAATACATAAATGTCGGTAATAACTTTGAAATATTCATTTTTTTATACCTATACTGCGGCGTTTGAAGCAATAATCGGTTAATAAGAGGAAAAAAGGAGAACGAGAGAAGGACACGAGAAAACATCTGGACAAATGAACAATAAAAACGCGTCGTTTATTTTAGTAGTATTTCACTTTTTTGTTTTATTCTCTATTTTTCTAACAGTACTTGCAAAATTACATACATCGGTATATTTTGGTTTCATAAATAAAAACAATATAATATCATCGTAATAATAAAATAAAAACGTTAAACACAAATACGATCATTATGTATATATTATATTTATATCATATCGTTTTCACGTTTTCATCATATAATATTTTTATTACACACTCTTAAAATATAGTTACGATTAATAATAATTATTTTTTAAATAATATTGTTTTTCATAAAAAAAAAACAATCATCGTATTTAAAATTTGTACAACGGTAATGTGGGCACTAAAATGCAATTATCGTTTATATTATATAATATATATGTATAGTATTATTACAATAGTCAATTATTTTACTGAGGATCATTTGAGGAGTACACAAAAAAAAAAGTCAAAATTAAATTAAAAATAAAACAAAATATACTAATTTTTTTTCTTAAAAAAAAACCTATAACAAAACCGTATAAAAAAATTATATATAAAAAAAACAAATAAATAATAATTAACTCTTTGACCTACAGGGAACTTTTCTGAGTCTCGACGTTCATCACGAGTGTGTACATGCAGTAATTGATTTGACCTGAAACATAGGGACCACCATTGTTTTTAGTTAAAACATAATAACAATAATTATATATAAATTAAAATCAAAGTAAATAATAAACTAATCAAAAATAAAGATGCATGCATAGGTATTATATTATGTTGAAATTAAAAAAAATAAAACATAATATTAGACACGGAGAGAGTGTACAGACGAAGTGGAGAATAAAATTATAGAATTTGGAATTAGGTTGTTTGCTAACTGGGATTTAACTCGACTGAGATTTTAAGTTTTGACCATACGAAATTATTCTAAGACCTACTATTACTGTAATTATACCGTACAAATAAAAATAATAATATTAGGCTAAGGTAACAGATAGAACAACATATGTAAATACAGTAGGTATTCTTTCATAAAAATAATCGAAGAGTCTAAGTTTTATTACGTGTTTTGATCAATTGTCGTCAACTACTATTGAAATTATTAAATAGTTATTGTATTTGAAACATTGTTCACTTGACCCTAATAATATATTATTTTCAAAAGGATGTGTAAAGCTAAGATACGACAACCGGAATGAATAGAAAATGGAAACGTATGCAGAACCTAATATTGCAACCAAAACTAGTCCATCAGAATCAATCCATACTACATTTTTATAGTTGCAGAACAGTATAATTGATAATAATTTACTGGTTAATTTAAAAACAAAAAAATAACAGAACATACAATTTTTTTTTTTAATATTGTTTATAATTTTTAACAATATTAAAATAAAATTTGTAAGACTTTAAATATTTTTTCAAAATATGATAATGAAATATTTTTTTAATATTTAAATTTTTCTGTAAAATGGATACAATCAGACTTCGAGAAGAGATGCGGTGGAAGAAGTACTTTAGATCAATTAATAAGCAATTGTTTTGTTGTTGTTTCTGTGTAACTCTAAGTAACACTGCTTGTTCGTCAACTGGAAGTTCATTTAAATTATTCATCCGATGAGATTTTACATTATGCCGTCGCCGTTAGGTGTTTCGACTGAATTTACGACATAATTATTCAAGTACCAAACACAAGAAGCACACATACTACTTATACAAAGACGTCAAGCGTAATTCGCTATTATTTACTAGTATATTTTGCTCGCTACTGCTGAATGGGGTTGCTTATGATGTTATGTGAAACTATGTAAATTATTATCGAAGTGATCACGTGTGTCAGTGCGTGTCGGTGGCGATGGCTTTTCGAATTTATTGCATTTTCTACCAGCAAAAATATTGCCCGTCCCGTACAATTAGAGTCGCGCGCGCCTCTCTGTTTATTTTTATTACACACACTCGACACTGGTCGATTAACATGTTTGACGGAACATGTTTATCGACCTATTGAGAGATGGTGTTATAATAAAATAAAAAAACCCGATTGTTTGTTCGAGGCGAGCGCGTTTTATGAGCTTCCATAACCGCGTGTCATTCATTGTCGGAACCGCCGCCACCACGGGTCGTAAAAACCAATGAGCGTTTAGGTAGTCGTCGGTTCTACGTTTCTTATGTGCCGGCTAATACATATAAATTACTACATAATAATATGTTTATGTTACATTATAGTGGGTACACGGTTTTTATCGTTTTATCGTGTATACAGATAATATAACCTAACCGTTCGATTTGGACTTGACAAAATAATATACTGCCACCAATTTGTCACTGGCCCGGAATAGACGACCCCCATTTTCCAGAGCAAAACATTTATTTTTAAGTCTAGAATCCCAAGCCTCCCCCCCCCCAATTCCCGTCAATGTTTATAATAGCGAAAATCTAAAAACGAAGCAATGAGCATATTATGTCCACCGGTCATACAAAGGCTTCAGTATAATTATAAACAAAGTTGTACACATTATTATTTCGGCCTTTCAGAATATTGCTAAATTACTTATACTACTAATAATTTTTTGTTTCCATTAAAAAAAAAAATATGTCCTGAATGCGTCAATACCGAGGCCGGTACCAAATTTGGCTATCTAGTGACATATTTTTAACCGTTTTTTTTTTTTTTTTGCCTTTTTGCGTTTTCTTCGGATGTCCCCCGGGGGCGTACATTATTATGTCTGTGACTAGTTTTTGCTGTCTCGTCCGGACGGCAAATTGAAACGCCGGAGCCGAAGACTCCATAAGGTTGTTGGTGAATTTTTTTTTTCTCAAGCCGCCGACTCGGACGTCGGCCTGGGGTTAAGCGTGCATGCACTAATCAATTATTCTGACAACGCAATGAAGTAAACAAAAGAACAGCAAAAATTCTCAAAATGTTTCACGAGGATGCAAGGCAAAACTCTTCTCTTCTCGTCTCTATATGCTATATATGCAGTGTATATATAATAATAATATGTGAATACACATAATATAAAAATGTGGTCGCCCTCTTACCTCTCTGATGGTCGTGTCGTGTTCGCCAGAGGAATTGCGTGTGCATGTAAGACGGGCATTCCGAGAATCCCGAGGCGACTGCGACGACGGTCACCACTTGCCAGACAAGCGACTGACTATACGATGACGTCTTCTTCTCGGCGGTTTTCGTTTAACCTCTTTTTTCTTATTTTCTTTCTTCGTTTTGCACTAAGTACGTACAATTTCGTGTATGTAGTCGAGTAATGCGCAAAGCTCGGCCGCACGGTATTTTTAATATCTTTGGGGACTTGGTGGGGAGGACATATGTGTATATAATAATATACGGGGGCAAACTGGGCTCGGGCCTATTTTTCTTACGTATAATTTTTTTTTCAAATATTTACAACGTATTTATATATGTATATATTATAATAATCGAAAATAAAGCGTCACGTACGTATATATATATATATAGTATAGTATATTATTATAATAATTATAGTCGACTTAAATAAAAGTTACACGTGAAATATACATATTATATTGAATTATATTTTATACAAATCGAATGAACACAACTAAATAGAAACAAAAACTATTAGGTATTAGTATAATAATAGTATTATTATACTAAATTTACACTATAGGTAGGTATGTATATTTTAGCGTATAGTGTACATTAATGATAACAACGTGAAATCTGCCGCTGGGGAAAAAAAAATATATTTATAAGTATAGGTATTTACAAAATAATAATAATAATAATAATCGAAAAAGTCGTTTCTCGAAAAAATGAAAAACTAAGAAGTAATATGGCGACGAGAGGTTTTAAAAAAAAAAAAAAAAAACGAGATAAGGACATTTCTATTATAATTTCTTATAATAATTGTAATGATAATGCACGCTGTATGGGGTAGGGGGGGGGGTGGGTCGGTGGTTGGGCGGTGGGCGCGTTCAACGTTCGCCGGCGGCCTGAGCGGCGGCCAGTACGGCGGCCTTTTGCGCTTGCGCCTGTTTCTCCTGTTCGTTGAGCTCCTTGATGGCCTGTATCTCTTTTTTCAGCTTCATCCGCCTGTTCTGGAACCATATCTTTATCTGTCGCTCGGTCAGGCACAACGCGTGCGCCATCTCTATCCGTCGCCGGCGGGTCAGGTAATGGTTGGTGTGGAACTCCTTCTCCAGCTCCAGCGTCTGGTACCTGGTGTACGTCTGTCGGCCTCGGCGTCTAAGTCCGTTGGCGCCTGCGAAAAAAAAACAAAAATCGGTCAACGCACATTTGAAAATCGAGTGAAATTAAAAATATATATACACTGGTGTTAAATATAGAGCAGTGGCGTGGTGAAGTGTTAAAATTCTTCGGGCAAACATATTTCATGAAACCCCCCCCCCCAGCCATAATTATTAACTGTGTTATTTATCCAATATTTATCTACATTGTGGTCTATACTCTGTAGAATGTAGTAACTTTTATTCGGTATGCGAGCTATGGCTACGCATGTATTAAAATTAACAATAACATCATACCTTAAGTAAGATGTATGATGACCAGATGGACCACCCGCCCCTAAAAAAATCGGGCAACCGCCCCTAAAAGTCACGGTCACCACGCCACTGGTATAGAGACGTATGATAACAAATCGACACTGTTTTTTTTAATTTTTTTATAACGACCCATCGCTAGAGAGACGCTGTATCAATTTTTTTCTCGACGATTATCTTGTTGTTATAACGTTCCAACCTAAAAGTCGACTCGGGCCCCAAGTGTGTATTAACGCGGACGCGGTGCGACACACTCCCAGTGGAACTGAATAGTATAAATTATCACCTATAGTTACACAGTAATGTGTATTCCAAAATGCGTATGAGTGTGTGTGTAGATATAAATTCATAACTAGACTGGTTTCTAAACGGTACCGCTGTAGGTAACGGTAGGTGGTGTACCGAAAATTCAGTCACCAACACTTAAAAGAGGGCGCACGTTTTTTTGAAATTGTAATTTATCCAATTAATAAAGTATGCTCATTGCCGTATTGATAAGTAGACACTATAGTTTTATCTCTAAATTAAAATATTGCAAAAAAAAACGTCGCCAAATTTGTATACATAATTACATAGTATAGAATCTGTAACAATATTTCCCAAGAAGCTCAGACCGACGGCGGCAATGACGGCGATGATACAGACCGTCTTGCTGAACCGCAAATGGCGCTTTGTGCCCAGTGGGGATTCCCTGCCAATTGGATATACCTATTCCTTGGATTTAACATTATGAACAGCGGCGGCGGCCATGTGCACCGCCGATTGATTTACGACCTGGTCCGCCTGCGAACCCGCGGTGAGTTATAGCCGGCCATGTTGTGTGACGTCACGCGGAGACCCAAAAGGTATCACGGCCCCGGCGTACAACGGGGAGGAGGCACTGGTGTACGGCAAAAATTCTCGTTTTGGCAAAAACCGAAATTAAAATACTAACAGCGGAGGGCGAAAAAAGCGCGCTTGGACACGTTCCATCGATGGTGCTCGGCCAAAGTAAATAATTGAATTTAGGCAATCCAAACAGAACGAGTCGTCCCGAAGAAGTCCTTGCCGGCGGAAGGGTCGGACGCAATTAACCGAGATTAGAAGATAGTGGTGTCCGCTGTAGGTTAGCTTTATGTTATAGCCGACCGTCGAACGCAACGCCTCTTATACAAAACTTATTTATTATATACGTATATATATAGATATATACACCCACTTTAATTCGGCGGTCCACCGTGTATAAAATTCTATCTAATCCGATTAAAACTTGGCTCGCTTTATTTATATATACACCGCAGAGGACGTGATTTCACCTTTGTCGCTCCTGTAAATTGGATCAAACTACCCAGCCGTCGCTTAGCATCAGCCGTATAGATGACTCACACGACTTTTTAAACCTCCCCTGAAACGGTTTTGGTAAAATCTTCCAAATAGATTCGTTAATTATTACTATAAAGTTGTCGAGCACGTTTACTTCGGTTTAATCGAAATCGATCGCCGTTAAAAGACACATAAATACTTCTACGATAGTATAATATATTATTCGAATCGGTAAAACTCATATATATTTCAACGCAACGTTTCTTGGACTTCTTTGTAATAACAATAACAAATACCGTGGGCGTTCACCGATCCCATTAACGGTTGTATATAATATAATATAGGGCAGTGCACGGTTAAGCATTCCATACCAACACCTGTACACGGGCTAAATAAATGGAAAAAAAGGTTATGCTAACGGTATCTACATTTGTGTGACTACCACCGACAACGATGTGGTCCGTTATATATTGTGTTACCTCTGTAGAGTCCTGCAGGGACCGTTGAACAAATAGTAACGGTGTCACACAGCACCCCTTGTACCTTAACGCATTGATAATATGACATAGCACAATGCAATGTGAACGGCACCTGGCCGTTTGCATCTACTGTATATAATAGCTTCGTCTTTAAGGCGCCTTTAAATTGGCAAAAATCCGCGGTAAGGCCGCCGAAACGGGTTCGAGTACGGTTTGGCCGTCAAAAGGAGAGAGATAGAAGGGAAATATCGCACTCTTTTTCCTTTTGATACACTCAGAAACGAAATTTATTCCCTCTTCTGGTGGCTGATTAAAGTGTATGTGTGTGTGTGTATAATTTATATAAAATAACTCTCGTCCTCCAAAGTGGTTTATGTGTATCCTGGAAGCAGGACTTTCACACATACACACAACTCAGCATTGGCTGCGAGTGTATAATATTCAGACTTGGCGGTGTACGTCTTATAGCAACAAATTGGATGCCACCGGAGCAAGGGTATATACACAGAAGGGCGAGGAGAAGGGACAACCGAGAAAATCGGCCAGACATTGTGCTCCCGAACCAATTAAAGTAACGGCATAAATTCTCAGTTCACGTGACAACCCGTGCAAGAGTATCAGATAAATTATACAGAGAAAATGTGAGCGTAGCAAGAAGAAGAGGACGAGGAATTTTGCAAAGGGGATGGTTTATATACACGCCAGTACGTATATATACCGCGTGCGACCCCGGGGAAAAGAATTAAATTATACCCGGCGCACCACCCCGTCGGGCGGGGGTGACAGGTTAGAAGGGTAACCGTGGAAATGGAGAAACAAACCGGATATTCGCTAGGTGTCATTTGGTATCTGCTCCCGAGTTAATATAGGTAAACGTCGCCGAGGAAGAGTGTGGGGGAGGGATGCGTTTGGTATTATTTTATTATTATCTTCTTATTATCAACTTATTCAACGTGTGCACCGAACACTCTAAAGGTATACAGCATATGCGTGACTTCGTCCTATACATCCAGAATAGGTAATATTATCATCATGTACTATAATATACTGCCATATAATAATGTTATTTCACTTTAAAAAAAGTGAATTTTATTAAGTTTATTTTATAATGATTTAAATCGTACCGAGGAAGTTAAACAAATTCCTTTCAATGTTTTAATCAGGAAACAAAAGTTGACTCTTTATAATAGGTAACAATTTTACAATTATAGGTACACTTCTGATATTATAATAAAGTGCACATTATAGTGTAATAAGAGCTCAGTGCGAATGATCTATAAAAAATGTGTGATAACCGTTATCAGAAATGTTGCTGGGAATGGTAGTATAATATTTTTATTACACGGCAAGTATACAGTATATAAAACGGACAATACATACTTATATATTTATCAGTGTATTATTTATTGGGTATAAAAATATATGCGCAGCAAGCGGCGGGGTTAACATGTGCGTGTGTGTATATTACTTTGGAAAAAACTTGTTTTACGGCTGTCGCCATGTTATAAGGCCGTTTATCATACGCACGTCGGCCTTCTTAACAGTGCAAGACGACGCGTTGGAAGACGTATATACAGAGGGGGAGCCGATAGCAAACCGGTCTCCACTTACACTGAACATAGGTATATAAATATAGCATTAGGTATACACGAAATCCGTCATCTCTGAGATATCTGCTTCACCGTTTAGCTGCGCACGTTTTTCCTTTGCCTTTTATTAAATCTATAAGATTGGCTAATTAAGACACGCCAATACTTTGTTTAATTTCGGTAGCCTAATCAAAAACACACGGTGCGTTCAATTTATATAAGTATATGATTAATGTAATCCGCTTCAATATGGAAACCGAGCAGCTTGTATTGGTCTTGTGGGAGTGTTTTTTTTTTGTTTTAAATGATATTTTTCGAATCAGCCAATATTATGATGTCGATTGTCGGCACACAGCTACATGTGTGGGATAGGAAAAATATTATGACATGCGATCAAAACCTTTTCCCGGACGTTCGTGGGAACGTTTGCGATGCAGCCGCCGCCGGGGCGTTCTGTTCGGTCTATAAGACTTACTAGTGTATGTGAGTAGTTGCGCCAAGATAGACTATTGCATACACATAACATATGTAATATATAATGAACGCTAGAGCCATAAATAATGCCTCTGTTGTTTATAACATTAAAGCGGCGAGGAGAAAAATTGATTTTTCTTATATACATTATCTTCTAACCGTCAGTACATGGATATTAAGTCGTTATCGATCTGTGTATAGGTACATGTACATTATATTACATATTATATACATATACACACTATATGCATACTATAGGTACACTATACATACTATATGAGTGTACACTGTAGGCATCTCGTGTGTGGTGTAGTACACTAGTATAAAAAAAAACGCGTTGGCACAAAGAAAAAGAAAGAGGAAGGTAAAAAAATTGTAAGTTTAAATACTTATGTTTTACACTATACCAAATATTATTTATACAATTTTAACAATATAAATGTTTACATTTTTAACAATGGAGTACTTATTTAATTAATTTATTTCATTAGATCGTTGCGGTTAAACTAACTATACTATGTTATTTATAAATCTACAAATTTATTATATTGAACGTTTTGTATTTTTCTTTACTTGGGGTTTAGGTTGAGGCCAGTTTACAATTCCCGACGAGGATCTTATTATTTTTACAAAAAATATAAATTTTCATCGGTGCTCGTAAACTGTACAAAAATGTCTACTTATAATACTTGGAAATTACAATAATACATTATAATATACTTGTCGCAGTCGGTACATTACTGTAACGTTTAAATTCGATTGTGAACAACCGTGACGGTGCCCTGTCCTATAATGGACGTCGTCTCCAGAAAGATGTCTCATTTACACCATGGCGGCATATGTAACCTAAGACCCATA